GTGTGTGTGTGTGTGTGAGAATCGATTAATCGTAGCTCAGCCCTCCTGTCACAAGGCCTTGATATCAAACGTAGGATAAATGCTCAGTGAACCTCAAATCAACTATCGCAGACTGAATCTTTTGCACTGAATGCGTCTTTGTCTCGTTTACTAATTTGATCAGATTTTACCCAATTTTAGTCCAAACTTCAGTAATGTTGCTCAGTTGTAATGAAGTATTGTCAGCAAACTAAACTAACACGAACAAAAGTAAAAGTACTCATTGTGCAGCTGAATGGCGCTGTCAGCGTTATTAAGCTATCTATTCTAATAAGATAAGATATTCCTTTATTTGTCCCACAATGGGCAAATTCCAATATAATTGGTGATATTGGTGTACTATGTGTAAGTAGAGTTATCACTATTTGTTAATTATTAACCTGTTTATATAGTTAGGCAGCTTAATCAGTAACAATGTATTGTAATGTAAAAGCTGTCCATGTGTTTTATATGTAAAAGTTTAACAGGGTAACTTTATTTGTCAGATAAAAGCAGTGAAAACCACCAAATCTGCTTCTAAAAATTAATAAAGAGGAAGTATAAAGTGGCATTAAAAGTGCCCAAGTAAAGCTCAAGTGCCTAAAAGTGTAACTTAAATACCAGACGTGACGTATTTAGTTACGTTCCACTGTTGGTGGATGAAAAATACTGACACATGCAATCACAGTGATCAGTAGAAGCTGATTAACGCTCATAACATGCTCAAATAACCTGCAGATTTTTTAAGTTGCTTGATTTGAGTCGGTATTAAGTTTGTTTTTTTAACACATAAAGTTTGAACAAAATCTTTTGTGTTCTGGTGTGTGTGCAGTGTTTTGTCTTAAAGGATTGGTATAAGGGTACAATAAGCACAGTTCACAAACTTCTTAGCGGGTAAAGTTAACTGTGCTAAAACAACAGGATTGCATTAGAGGATAACCAACACGTAACACAGACGACAAAGTAGACAACACGCAAGTGCGGCATACATTAATAAAACATATACATATATATTCTTACAAAGGTACAGTATCAGAAATCAACCAATTGTGACAAAAACAAGCAAATTAATTATTTCAACAGAAATTGTGATTGAATATTTTTCACAATTTTGATTGAGAAAATGAGTTACATTGGTAAATAGGATAATAGAAGAAAAGGTATTTTCATTCATCTTTTTTAATTAAACATTAACACGGTAACGCTTCTGTAACTTTTTGTTCCTCAGAAGCTGCTAACGTCCTGATGCGTATTCTTTCACATGTGAAAAATAACTTTCCTTTATTCCTCAAATTGTGATTGAATGCTTTTTTGTGTTTCTGCAGCCATACTGTAGTTTCTTTGTCTGCATTCGTCGCTCTACACAAAAGTCCTCTTAGGTGTTCTCTTATCTTTGCCATTTCTCAAAAATCCCAACAAATGTATCAGGGAGACAATGTAAAAGCTGTCTCTTCTTGAAGGCCCATAGATATTCTTTTTTTTTCTCCTGCAGCTCTGGCCTTTGAAGGTCTGGCTGGTCGTGGCTGAACTCTGGCCAGAAGGCATCTGTTACTCAACAACATCTGTTCCTGTTACTCTCTTTCTCCCAGCATGCCGAGGGACACGCAGGCTCTCCCAAGGGTGGCCTTTTGTGTGCCCCATTGTCAATTCCATCATTGTCTGCTGAAGTCTGTTCCCATAATGCCGTGGGGTTATAAACCCCTCCAGAGGCCAACTCTACCGGGCTGATGATTTACAGTTATTTGTGTCTAAATACAATCAACGCCTTTGTGGGGCAATTAAGAAAGAAAACTGAGGGGAATTTAAAGAGGTAATTGTGGAAAAAAAAAACCCATGTAAAATCTAAATGTAGACTGGCAAATTGAATTTGTTTTCTCTCCTACATGGTTGCTGTGTTCAGATATAACAGAACTTTACTAAAGGAAAGTTCAGATATTAATGAGAAAGAATCCAATAAAGTGTTTTTTTGGGGGTGGAAACAGGAAGGGTGGAAAACCCAAAAACCCAAAGTGTTGGATGTCCAGGAGGCGTTACTCTACATTGATCTGAATTTAAGAGCCATGAATTACCTGACTTGTTCTTTAGTAGGAGAAATAGGAGTGGTAAATCTAGCGTAGGGACATTGTTTTTTATGAATAGGCCCCCTCTCCCGTCTCCAGGGAGACACTTTCAACTTCTGGCAGTAGCCAACAGTGTCGGCATAGAAAAGCCCACTATGGGGTCGCCAGGGGAAGACAACAGATGTTACTGATTAACTTTGCTCACAGACCCCTAAAGAAGTGTTTTTTCAGAGTGCTTGCAGATGGACAAAACAAAAGTTGGAAGCAATTAAAATTTCATGTTTAGCAATATTTATTTGGAAAAATAGTCTTGGCTAATTCCTTCATTCAAAAACGGTAAAGGAGACAGTAACATAACAATTTGTACAGTACAATCCCTCTTAAATAACATTTTCTTAAAAAAAGTCCCATTGACCTGAAGTGCCTTTGCAAATATCATCATTAAAAAAAACAACTTAAATAATCATAACAAACATCACAAATATACAATACAAAATAAAAATAACACAGTCATTAAATTAACTTAAATTAAATCATAATTTTAAATCATAACTTTTTTCTTGTTTTTTTCTTTCTTTATTTTACAAAAGGACAATATGTATCAAAAAGCAACATTTTTTTTCAATTAAGACAAAGTTTTCATGTCCCGAACAGAAACAAAAGAAGAACAATACTATGTCATAAATGGTTTGGAGGGCTTGGGGAAGAAAACGCACTTCAGTTAACACAGTGATCAAGTATACATACAGTCTTCACAGGTGTAGTGATGGGTGCACAGCCCATGTGAACAGCCTCATGAAGAACAGGCCAGTATGGCCAAACATCCACCGTTTGATGCAGTTCCTGCGCTCAGCAACGGCGTGTGGGTTAGAGAAAAGGCCTGGGTGCAAATGTTGCAAAAACAAAAGTCGTAGCATCGCACGTTATCGCCACGAGACAGTGTCCGTTTATATTTTATTTTGTTTACCCCCTCTCCCCGATGAAAGGCAGAAAAGAAAGCTAAGTGGCAGTTTACTTTAAACCGTAAACTCTTTTCTTTTTCTTTTTTTTTTTTTTACCCCGCCAGTTCTTATCCCACAGGCCGCCGCTGCCTGCGCTTATTTTCCAGTAGAGAACCAGCTCACTCTGAATATCAGTTAAACGTCTCAATATCAGCAGCAGTCTCAAGGCGGGACACCTCCCCCTAGGGTTAGAGCAGCATCTGAAGGAGTATAAAAACTCTCCCATAGAGCAAATGAGCAACGGGCAGCCCATTGGTGGCTCGTTACACCTGCAGAGACACAAAAAGAGGAAGCACGTCAGTGTTTGTTGGCCAAATGACCACAGGCAGAAGTGTTAGACGGAACGGTGAAACTAAGTGAAACATACAAAACTTACCTCAGTTGCAATTATACATTCGTCCTTTTCCTCTGACATCACAAACACAGATTTGTACTTGGTGTCCGCACATGCAGACATTTCTGGGGCTTTCTTTTCTGATGCATCGCTTTAGGAAAGAAAGGAAAACATGGTTAGCTTCATCATCCTCACAGCCTCAAGGTTTCATTTTGTTTTACTGTCAGCTTTTCAGCAAGAAATATTTACCATTTTAAACGTTTGCTGCGTTTCTCCTCAAACTCAAATGAGTCTAGGGATTGGGATTGGCACTTGTCCTCGCAGGCCGCCTCCAGCATGGCCTCTTTAGCCGCCTGCTCGTAGTTAACCTCGTGTACGAGGTTGTAGTCCGCGGGCGGATGGCGGCTCTTGTAGCTGCTCCTCTCCGGTGAAGATCCTTCATCGGGGTCACCGCTGCAGAAGTCCATCTTCTTGTTGATATTTTTGACGCCTGGTGTCGGCATCACACTGACTGCCAGGTCTCTGTCACTCCGGTGACAGTTGTTAGTCAGGTTATTTATTGTCTCTCCCTCGCCGACGGTTTCTAGTTGACCGCCGCGCTGGGCTTTTGATCGGAAAAATCCAACAAGTACAGCGCATCCTGCCAACAGCAGCAGCACAAGGGCCACGCCGGACCCGACGGCCATCCAGGGCACCTCTGACCCGCGGATTGCAGCGTGCTCTGGAAGCAAGAACTGGCAGTTTCTGCCACCGTAGCCAGGAACACACGCGCAGACGTAGCGGTTGTTTCTCTCATGGCAGGTGGCACCGTTGTGGCATGGGTTGTGTTCACAGCGGCTGATGGGAGAGCTGCAGTTGCGGCCGGTGTATCCTGGCGGGCATGTGCAGGTGTAGCCATTAAGACCTTCCTGGCACGTCCCGCCGTTTTGGCAAGGGTACACAGAGCACTCGTCCCCTGTGTGGTCACAGTTCATGCCAGTGAAACCATCTGGACACTGACACAGGTACGAGTTTACAAGATCCACACATCGTGCACCTGAGGACAGAGAGAGGGATTGGCATAGATGTTTGGTCCGAATGTTGGAATACCTTATCCGATGTTTGGCATTCAAGGCACACTACAGTCTACACATCCCACATTGTATGGGATTACACAGCCAGTGACTCTTACCATTGGAGCAGGGGCTGGAGGTGCAGTGGTCAATCTTCTTCTCGCAGTTGAACCCTGCGTATCCTGTGGGGCACTGGCAGAAGTAGCCTCCATCAGGGTTGTCAGCACAGCGGCCACCGTTGGAGCAGGGCCCATCAGCACACGTCATGGCACTCAGCTCGCAGTTGTTGCCATAGAAACCGTGAGGGCAAGTGCAGGTATATGTGTTTTCCAAATCCTGTGGGGAAAAAATAGAACAGGCTTGACATCAAGATCTGTCTTGCATCTGCAGCTGCTACAAACTGAAGCCTTTTGAATCTTAATATGCTGCATCTGTTCGATTGTTTCATAATGTTTACATATTTGAAGCTTTTCTGGCTTAATGCAAAGTTCAAGAGAAGGTAAAAACAGAAAGGGGATAAAAGGCATGTGACAGATGTGCCAGGTTGCAATCAGACTTTGATGGAACTGAGCCACAGGTCACAGGATGGCGCTATTCTCATTCCAAGATAGTATAAAAAGACCAAACAACACTTACAGTGCAGCTTCCTCCGTTGCGACAGGGGTTTCCAGCGCATTCGTTGACCTGGATCTCACAGCTGGCCCCAGTGAAGCCCGGCTTGCAGGAACAGGTGTAGCTGCCCTGACCAGTGTTGCTACAAGTGGCTCCATTCATGCAGGGCTTGTGGTGAGTGCAGTAGTTGAGATCTGGAAAGACACAGCAGCACATGTGGATTAGCCACAGCACAACACATGGCAGGACAACAGCAGCAGCGACAGAATGTCTTTTTGTCCTCTGGCACACATGACTCTTTCTCTTCTTCCAGTGGTTTTTTTTGTTTCCTGTTGCCTTCTGTCCTCGCTGTTCATTTCGAGAAGACAACTGCTGCTCTGTTGTTGCTTCACTACAGTGTCTATGCCTTTTATGTTGGTATGTTGATGCCTTATTTTGTCTCTCTACTTTTAAACTTTACTTAGCAATTTTTGAGGATGAAAGCCGGAGAGATGACTTTAGGCAAGAATTCTGTTCCAAACGTTTTAAAACTTGGCCTCAAGAACAGAACACTTTGTCCACTTTCTTTACCCTATCTCTGTCTTCTTAGTCAGAATGGCTTTGGTAATTTACAACTGAGGACAATCAAAAAATGTCTCAGTATCTACAGAAGGTGAAAATGGAGCTAAATGGAGCTGAAAAGTAAGTTTTAACCGACATCTGTACTGCATAGACAGCATTTTAATCATTATTCTAGTCTAGTAGTTAGTGTCCCATCAGTGCTTTCTGGTTCCTTTCTTTTCCTTTCTGTCTCTCCTCATCACTCATTACCCCCTCCCACCCACCTCTCATCCCACTCTCTCCTCACCTTGGTTGCAGAAGAGTCCCCCCCAGCCCTCCTGACAGTTGCACTGCCAGGGCTGCTGGCAGGTCCCGTGGAGGCAGCCCGGGTAACGAATGCACTCGTCGCAGTAGCGGCCTTTGAATCCCACTCTGCACCTGTTGTTGTCCAATTAGGAGGGAACACCGGTCAGTACACTCACATTACCTCATGCGTCCCACTAATTAATTAATGCCCCAGTGAACTGGTGGAGAAAACTTACTTGCACTCTCCGGGTTTCTCGCAGAAGCCGTGCTCTTCGTCACAGCCTGGCAGGCAGATCGCTGTACAGGGAGAGAAAGAGACACGTTGAGGCAGGGAAAACAACTCAAATACAGGTTCTTTGTTAGGTTTTCTCTCGAAGACATAAAAGTATCACCTAAAGCCCAACAAAGTCATTAAAATAAAAGAAAGGAGGGGCTCCTAAACCCATTAGCTGTTACCTTAAACTCAATCTCCTTATCACCGTGGAAGAATTTTCTGCTTAACATAGTGCTGAGACAAAGGAGGGAGTGTGTGAATGTGTGTGTGCCGCAGAGTGTACACACACACTCACACACAGACCCCCTCAACCCACCCCACCACCCTCTTTTTTTCTTCTTCGCTGCGGGTCAAAACTCTTTTATTCATTCTGTGCACACACACACTCGCTCACACACACACTCCCCTTAATGTCTCGGATTGGGGCAGATAAGAGTGGACAGCTGGCGAGTGTGTTGCCAGTGCGCGACAGCTGCTCCATTGTCTCCTCTCTGCCGGCAGCTGCCCACTTCAAACAATACCTCCCCCGCCTCGGCCAATCAGCGGCCGGCCCACTCCGAGAGTAACGAATCGGAAGGTAGCATGTAAATTTATGGCACGCGTGAGATTATTCCCAAAAACTTTCCTTAGAATAAATCAAGTGGTCGTGTGTGTGTGTGCGTGTGTGTGTGTGAGGGAAGAGGAGGGGGTGCGTGTGGTGTTTACGCACAAGTTGCCTTCTAACGGCACTCAGAGGATCTGATTACAGACCCAACATAGAAAGAACTTTTTATACTTTTCTACACTTACAACAAAAATACTCCTAAATTATAATGTTTGTGTTAAGTTTAAAGTAACTTTGTGGTATTTTATCTCCGATTATATCTTCTATATCCAGTGTGAACATTTATTGTGTCTTGAAATTAAGATTATTCCTTAAAGTTTTCAGCATTTCACACACACACGCGTCTCCACATGCTCCTAATACAATAACAACGTTGTGTTACTCACGTTCAGTGCAGTACTGTCCCTTCCACCCGGAGTCGCACACAATCTCCCCGCGCTCTCCACAGGTGAAGTGGCCGAAGGCGTCGTCTCTCGGCCGGCAGAACACCGAGCAGCCGTCGCCGTAGTAGTGCTCATCGCACACGAAGCGGTACGAGTACTTGAGCTCCGTCCTGCTGCCGGTGTGCAGGTCCTGAGACCAGTCCTCTCCCACCGTTAGATGCCTCTGGGTGGTCATGGTGCTGATAACGCGGTCTGGGTTCTCTGAAGTGCACATGTGGAAGCGGAAAGTGAGGGGTTAAAGGACGGGAGAGTGCGTGGATGTGCTAAAGTTTAAAAAAGGGAAGGGTGTTTATTTCCTACCTGTGGAGAGGTCGTCTTTGGAGTCGGTGTGTAATGCCTCAATGATCAGCGAGAAGGTCCCCTGGGAACACAAATGGCTTCATGAGACAGGTGGCCAGCGGAGATGTGGCGATAACATCAAGCAAAGGCCCGAGGCGATTGTGCCATACACTCAATGTGCTGAATGCAAACTGCCGAAACTGAATACCTGTAAACTTTGTGCGCTCTCGGCCCTTAAGTTGTGGTCAGAAATCGTGCCGCAGCGCGTTTTTACGCACGGATTTACCCAAAAAATGGCGCGATTCCGCTGCCTTCCCTTCTACTGTAGTGAAATGGTGATGAATGGCTGTACTTACCGGCCACGTGAAGCCGAAGTTAATCCTGATGGGGTTGCTGAATGAACTCTCGGGGATGACATCGGGGACCTGGAACGAGTTGGAGCCGAGCACGGGCGTCACAGCGCCGCCGTAGGTGCACGGAGGCTCCGGGGAGGCGTTGGGCTGGTAGTGCTTGAGACAGATCCTGAAGAAGGTTTGACACTCGCACTGCTGCTGGAAAGACGAGGCCAGGCCCCCCTTACAGCAGTTTTTGTTGCCCTGTACTCCCTTCTTGTTCAGGAACTCCTGCAACTTCAGCTCAAACACTCCCGAGCAAAACCCCTGCGGAGGAAAGCAACTTATCATTCACTATCCGCACAGTAGCGCTGGTGTATGAGTGAGTGTTGTGGTGGGAGGGGAGGGGAGGGGAAGGGAGGGGTGGGGGGGTGCAGGGGGGATGGTTCATTGTTTGGAAAAAAATAGAGCATTCAGTGTCTTACCTGGCCACAGCAACATGGACAATGACGGGAGAGAGTCAGCAGATGACGCGCCCCATACCTTACAATAAATAAATAAATAATAAATAAATAAAGTAAAAAGTCTCGGGGCTCGGCTTGTCCTCAGGGTGCCTCCTCCTCTTCAATCCCTCTGAGGAAGATGCATTGAGCACGTTTCTGTCGCCTCACGGGGTTTTCTCATCAACTGCTGCCGCTGTCAGCCGCGCCGCTCTCATTCATGTCCCGAGGAACCAAAAAGGATAAATCCCAAACCTTCAAAATAAAAAAAGTCAAATCACAAAATAAGATATGTGATCTATAGTGCGCGATGGGGAATCCTCCAGTTCCGTTGTAAAGCGATAATCCAATGCGTAAAGCGGGAAAAAAAAAGATGGGTTCCTTGTTTTGTTGTGCAGAAAGTGACAAATGTTAGGATGGAGCTTTTTGTGTGAAGTTCTTGGTCTAACCCAAGGACGGATTTGTCACTGGTCCAACATGCTTCCTTCTTCCTCCTAATGTCTTTCCTCACTGTGAACTGTGCGTCTGTCTCCAGCCAAGGCCGCCTGCAGCCTGTTATATACGGCCTGACACATGCTATGGTAATAACATGCAAATGCACCCCTCCTCCTCCTCCTCCTCCTCCTCCCCGACTTCACCTCCCAATCTGGCCCGGCTCTCCACAATGGGATCCCATGCAAGTACCCCCAACAGCCTCCTTTTACCCCAGCAGCAGCAGCAGCAGCAGCAGCAGCGTTAATATCTGAGCCCAAAATGGAGACATGTGAAAGTATTTGGAGCAAAGTGAAACTTTAAAAGAGAAGTGTGACTCCTGCAGGCGGAGGGACACACTTCCACACAACCTGTTGGGGGTGGGGGGGAAGGAGACTGTACACTTCCTTTCATGAATTCACCCGTTTAGGAGAGCATCCTGGGGGGGGGGGTAACCCTCACATTTACAGGACTGGGACGAAATAAATAAAATGGACTTTTTGTTGTTGTGTCGGTGTTTAAGGAACTACTTTGTGTCCTCCAGAGTGTTTGAGTGGAACCAGGGGCCACATAAACTGTGTACTGGAGCCACATGTGAAGAGTTGTGAACGCCCTGCACACGACAGGATGTTAGTGACGCGGTGGGACTGATCCCTCCAGCTGTTGCCTTTCTGGACAAACCTCTTTGTTTTTGGCGTCTTAAGATGTTTTTGGGTAAAGTGCCAAAAAACAGCGTGAAAAAACCCCTCCACTGAAGCTGATTCAAAAAGGAGAGAAAAATGTTTCTTGGTCAAACCCCTGACTCAGTTAATTGTTTACACCCCTCCTCCTCCCTCCCTCTTTCCCTTCTCTGTATACACACCCTCTACATTTTGGTATTTCTGGTTGTGGGAAGAATTTGATGCTTTGAATCGACTCAAAGGAAACTAAAGAAAACATTCCTTGGCAGAGCAGCGCGGTGAGGTGAACGGGCGGAGGGGTTGGACTCTGCTCCTCCATTTTCCTCTCCCCTTCTCCTCATTCTGCGGGCTTACACACAAAAACGCGTGTGTGCGTGCATGTAGGTGTGTGTGTGTGGGTGTGTGTGCGTGTAAACGGGCGCGCGCGCACCGGAGTCGCTCGCGTGGCCAACATGAGGGAGAACTTTTGTTATTGTGTGTGTGGTGGAGGAATAAGTTTGCTCTCTCTCTCTCTCTCT